TTTTTCCTTTGTTGCTAGTACTTTTGTGTTCTATCTAAAAAACCATTGCCTAATCCCCAAGGTCACTAAGAATTACCTCTGTTTTCTTTTAAGAGTTTTATACTTTTAGCTCTTACATTTAGGTCTTTGATTCATTTTGAGTTTATTTTTGTATATGGTTGTAGTAGGAGTTCAGACTCATTCTTTTGCATGTAGATATCTAGTTGTCCCAGTAAATATTTACTGAAACAAACAGAATTGAATATAAGAAGACTAAACAAGCCCAACTCTGAGGTTCTGGTTTGAATAGAATATAATCAATAAAAATGACTTCTAAGTCAACACAAAACATTTTCTTTTCTTTTATAAAATAAGGAGTAACAATTGGAAGTAGGATAATAATGATAAAATAAGGTGTCTGCTTTAAATTTCTGGAGTTCCTAAATCAGCATCCAAACTGTATTTCCTTACATTCTGAAAAGAAAATATAGTTCAGATACACAGGGTCATATGGAGGTATAAATATCTTTAGTTAGACAGTACTAGTTGAGTTCTCTGTAAGCTTTGATCTACTCCAGGTACATGCAATTCTTCCTAAAATATGGGGGAGAAAAGACCTTACCTGAGGCTTCTGTAGGATTTGTCTTCCTTGCATCTTTTTTTGTTTACCTGACATTTGGTTTCTGCTCCTTTGTTACAGAAAAGAAGAGGAAAGGCTCAACCAAGGAAAAAAGGTCTCTGTTTATTTAGAAGACACAGACTGACATTTTTAGACGTTAAGTTCCCCAAATAAGTTGATTTCTTTCCTCAGCTTTCTGACCTGTGTAGCCCATCTCTCATGTGGAGCTCCCAGATTACTTTATAAGGTTGTTAGGTGTTTCCTGTATGAAATTAGAGGAGCTGGGTCAGGGAGATAAAAGTTTTAGTCTTAGGGATGGCTCCCCTTTTGAGTGTATTTTGTGCGAAGAATTAAGAAGGTAGACTCTACGGCAGTTATTTGATTTTTCTTTTTTGCGGGGAGAGATACTGTAATTAAAGCTGAGAGAATTCTAAGGTTATTTGTGGTTGGGGGTTATTTTTATCAGCACTAATAATAATAGTAAATGTTCAACATGTAAATAAATCTTTTTTTGAATTGGAGTCTCACTCTGTGGCTCAGGCTGGAGTGCAGTGGCATACTCATGGCAACCCCAGTGTTGACCTGCTGGGCTCAGGTGATCCTTCCAACTCAACCTTCCAAGTAGCCAGAACTACAGGCCCAGCTATTTTTTTTTTTTTAAATTTATTGCCGAGATGAGGTCTTGCCAAGTTACCCGGGTTGGTCTCAAACCCGCGGGTTCAGGCAATCCACTTGCCTCAGCCTCCCAAATTGCTGGGATTACAGGCTGAGCCACCAAGCCGGGCCTAGAAATTTACCATTTCAGCCATTTAAAGTGTTAAGTATATTCACATTATTGTGAAAGAGATCTCAAGAGCTTTTTCATCCTGCCAATCTGCATCTCGAAACCCATTAAACAACTGATGCTACTTTTAAATACCACTCAAAGTTTAGCTTGTTAGAAAGAAGACAGCTCTGTCCACACTTTCAGGTAAGCATGGCTCAATCTCCTGCTGCTTCTACATCAGCAACTCTCTTGACTTGGTAAACCACTTAGTGCCTCCCATCTGTGGGCTGAGCCAGGCAGGCTTTCTTTGGTTTGGTCATCATTAGAAAAACAGATCAGGCATTCTAACCCAAATCGGTGCCCCTCCTCAGCTTCCTCACGGTTCCTGGTAATCCAAATTGGATTAACTTCCTCATTATTTATCAATTTCTTATAAATTCTAGAGAATCCATAGAGAAGAGAGCCTAAGAAGTAGCTTCAGGACATTAGAAATTAATTATTATTCTTGTTTGTAACACAATTTTCAACAAATCTATTAATTATGATTTTACACCATTCCCTGTCTTTCCAGAGCTTCTTTTGGATTAGCCTAGGTTATCCTTCTCCATACCATAACACATAGTACCTCCCTTATTAGAGCATTGCTCACACTGTATTGTAACCGCTTTTCAGTCTGTCTTCCCTACTCCAAGTTGTGTGATGCAAAGGTCTGTGTCAGTCTCGCACTGTATTGGAGCTGGATCTAGCATGAACTCAATGTTACAGAATTCACGGGCTGCATGAAGGTCCCCTGCATTGCCCTTCCCTGGTCTAAGGCAGAGCAGCTTGCAAAGGATCAGTTAACTTCTGTCTTCTCTTCTGGTGGCCGACATGGCACTGAGAGGTGCTGGCATGAATGCCGTGGGAACAGGAATCAGGCTAAGCTTTGATTCCCCTGAAAATACCCAGCATCTAGCACCATTGCTGGATCAAGGTAGACATTCTAAAAACATTCTGAGAATGAATGGATTAGAGCAATAAGAACTCAAATAAAGTTTCATAGAAGAGGATTTTTTTTTCTTTGCTTCATCTACTCACTGTATTGGATGATCACTGTATAGCAGGTACTATGACTATGACTAAGGGGAAAGGTAGCAATTATGAACTGGGCTTAGTAGGCACCATTAGAAGGCAGAGGGCAAGAGGAGGTGAAGTTGAGGGCATGCCTGTCAGGAAGGTGGGTGTTTGGGAAAGTGATGATTAGTCAGATTTTTAAAAAAAGGCGGGGAGCACAACGATACCTTATCTCAAACCGGGCAACGTGGGGACCAGAGAGAGGCCCAAACCTTGCCTGTATGATGACCACTTGTATACCTAATCCTGAATTGTACCCCACATCTTTTTTCTTTTTGAGTTAGAGTCTCACTCCGTCACGTGGCATGCTCATGGCCACCCCAGTGTCAACCTGCTGGGCTCAGGCGATCCTTCTGCCTCAGTTTTCCAAGTAGCCAGAACTATAGGTGAGTGCTACCACGCCCAGCTAATTTTTTTGATTTCTTGTAGAGATGAGATCTCTCCAAGGAACCCAGGCTGTTCTTGAAGCCGTGGGTTCAGGCAATCCCCTCACCTTGGCCTCCCAAAGTGCTGGGATTACAGGCTTGAGCCACTGTGCCTGGCCTGTACCCCACATTTTTAAAAGAAAAAAAAAAGGCTAGATGAAAGTGGTGAAGGAATGGGAATGGGTGGCAAGAATTCCAGACCAACAGAAGTAGTTTATGATGCAAAGATTCAAGGACAAGGGAGAGCACTGCATGTTCTAGAAATTGCAAGAAGCTGAATGCTGTTTAGAGCTTGGGGTGAAGTAGGAGTGGTGACAGAGGAGGCCCTAGAGGGAGGTGCTGTTTCCCTGGGGTCATGGGAGTCAGCTAGGGAGTCAGGCTGCATGCTGAGGTGAATGGAGAGTGACTAAAGGGCTGCAAAGGCATGGTGACATCGTCGAATTTATGTCAGCAAGTGACCCCAGCTGAAGAGTGGATTGAAAGGGATGACAGGATCAAAATTGGGCATGAGGGTTGAGGATAGCTTGGTTGAAGGTGTGATAGTGAAATGCAATTATCCACTGATCTAGGGGAAGAAGTTTCTAGCTGGGCTTATATTTTCAAACAACTTGGGACAACCAACCACAGGAGTGCACATCAAACATCATTTTATTCCACATCATCCATTACTTTTTCTTTTCTGGCCTTTGCTGAAGGCTATTGACCGATGCTAGGATTGGCTGAGTGTGAGTGCAGAGACCTGACAGGATCTGGTTTGAAAGCTTCTTTCCCGTGAGAGGGTCAGTGAAGAAGAAAAGGGACTAGAGGTGACCAAATGGAGCAATAGTGGTAAATTATGGCACACACAGAAGTGTCTAACAACAGTTTTCCCCTGGAATGAACAGTTAGAAAATACTTTATATCGATCAAAGCACCCTGTTGTTTGTTCCAGAATCTTTAGGTGAGGACATTTGTACTTTGCAAAAGTAAGTTCAATGTAATTTTATCTTTAAAGGCAAGTACATAAAAATAACCTCTATTGTCTTGTTCCATAAGTCAAGGAAAATAAAGTACACAAAATCATCCTGGCTATGAGATTGCAAATGTTCAGTATATGTGTGTGTCAGTCACTCACAGAGGGCTGGCAGAAAACTAGAATCTGCCACAGGGGTGGGGAGAAGTGGCAGCCATATTTATACTTATCAAAGGTAGGGGGTCAGGGAATCAAGAAATTTTGAGAAACTGAATTAAAGTCCTGTAAATACTTCAATCACAAAGGTCAATAATTTATTGTCATATTTTCTGCATTTGTTAAAATACAACATCATCACCATATTTGACATCTAATCACTCCAGACTCTGTGATAGCCACTGGGATCCAGAGGCTAAGGAGATACCAATCATCCTTGTCCCAAGGAGTACATGATTTAGTAGAGAAGACAGACACAGGAATCATTAATATCCTAACATGATAAGTACCTTGTTTAAATGGCACAGAGAAGAGAGGGATTGATTTCTAATTGTTCAATTGTATTTATATAGTTCTTTGTGGTTGACTTGTTTAAATGGCACAGAGAAGAGAGGGATTGATTTCTAATTGTTCAATTGTATTTATATAGTTCTTTGTGGTTGACAACATAAGTTGACATTGAGGAACATATATCATTAATCTTATAAAAAATCCTACAAGACTTAATTCTCCCAGCATCCCAGGAGAGGCATCATCTGTGTAAAATGATTTGACTGAAGCCAACAAAGATGAGAAGACTTGACTGAGATAATCGTATCAGATGGCCAGGGTCATCACCCAGATCAAAGGGGGTTTCAGTTCTAGCATCTTCTGTGGACATCACCCTAAATGTGTCTTCTTTTTTTAAAAATTAAGATAGAAATTTAGGTGATGTTTCTAGGACCAAAACCAGTCAATATTTTCAGGCATTAAACCCTATAAGAAATTTGTTCTTAAGTTCCAGAATGTGTTCTCTTGAAAATATGTCTCCTACTCTTTAACATCTCATTTTGCAGTTGGTATGACTTAGAAGAAAGGCCAAGCTAGGGAAATCAGAGAAATCTGGTTGAAATCTGGTTCAGTACTCACTGGCTGTGCAAACCTCAACAGGCTCTGGTCCTCCATTTCTTGAGCGGCACACTGAGGAAATAGATGACATGGTAAGATGTAAGTAAAGGCCCTGGTCCTGAGTTGCTGCTCTGATCCCATCTCTGCCACTACCATCCTAGTCCAAGTTACCATCTCTCAGCTGGAATGGTGCAACTGTAGTTTTCTTTTCTTTTCATTCGTTCTTCAATCTACCAATTTCTGCCCAGGAAGCTAAAGGAATGTGTCACTACCCTTAAAAGATCGACATCCTCCACATGATTTATAATTCTTTCCAAACTCCAGATCATGAGTCATGTCCGGGTCGTAGCAACAATTTCGTGGGTTCGCAGCAATGACTTGTTTTTTAAAAAGTGAATTAAAGTAAAACAACAGAAATATGAAGATATAGTGACAATCATAAACATAAGGATTATTTAATGAAACTTTTTTTATTGTGAGTCTTGTCAAAAGAATGTTTGAAAGCCTCCGGCATATCATGTTTTGACGCCGCGCGCGGCGCCTGGGTTCCCACTGTCCCTCCCCGCCCCGCCCGCACAGCACCACCATGGACCCCGCGCTCGGGGGCGGGGAGGGGCGCGGGGCAGCTCCTCGCCCTAGCCGGCTGCGGGCAGTCCGGCTCACGAGCCAGGAGGAAGCCAGGCCGGCTTTAGTGATACGAGCTCTTCCATGCCGAGACTCCCGCCCACGGGGCTGGCGGTGGATTCCCACGTGAAGACCCGCAGCGCTGCCAGGGCGCCGGGCGCTTCGCCACCGGGTCCAGCGCCCGCCACCGCGTCCTCTTGTCCTCCGCCTTCCGCGCCGCGCGCCCCCTGGCTGGTGGAGTGCAGGTGGGCGAGGTGGCTCCCGGGTCCGGTGGAGCGGCGGGGGCAGAGCACTGGGCGGCCACCGCGAGGGGCAGGGCCGGGAAGGCCGGTCCCCACGCCTCCCGTGCCGTGGGCCAAGAAACCGGGGTTCGGATCCATCCCACTGCGTCCTCGGAGTTGCAGCCGGTCGAAGCTACCATAAGAGCTCGCGACCTTCGAGCCTTCACTTCACTCCACTGCGAGGTTCGCTGCGAGAACCACCCCCTGATGCCTACATTTTGGCGCTGCCATCTGCAGTGTCTGGCTCGTTTCCGGAGTGCTGAGGAGCATGCGCGACAGAGACGTGGACGGTTCAGATCCGCGGACGATTCGCTCACAGACTTGGGCGCGTGTCTTTGCCGTGGCATTTATTGGCGAATGGGTAGGTGAGCATTTTCATCTCCATTTTATAGGCGAGGAGATGAAGGCTCAGAGAGTTTTGGAAGACCATCCAGCTGGTTAGATAGGGCAGGTCTTTTAGGGTCTAGAAATTCACTGCCCTTTCTACTGGGGAAAGCCTCTCTTCTGCAGCACCCACCCTAGCCTGGAAATCTTTCCCTCTACTGCACACGACATTGAGTAAATTCGGTCTGAAGTTGGGGTGAGTTAGAACAATAAAATAAACGTATAGATGGTTAGAAATGAAACGGGATGGTTGCAAATAGTAGGGAAACGTTGACTACCTTCAACTGATGGGAAGGACAAACCATTTTTTCCTGACTCTTCGTGTCTATGTTATCAAACCACTTGAAAATCATGTCACCTCTCCTGGTGCTGTGTCCCACCTGATTACGGTGACCAAACACTCTTAGAGGCCCCCCAGAGGCCAAGGTGAACAACCTGACTCATCTCTGCTCAGTCGGCCTCCTCTTCGGAACACCCTGCCAGGCTCCCCTTTGACCTTTCACCAATCTCTCAAATCTGCGGCTTCTGGGGAGGAGCTGACCCACAGCCCTCCCTTTGCTGATGGCCACAGCTGCCCAGGACTACACCACTGAACAGGAGGCTGGGTTTCAGAAGCTTCATTCACAGCCCGTGGTTTGGTGATCGCGTTCAGATGCTTCCAGCTCTGAGATCTCGGCCAGTTCTCGCTGCCAGGGCGTCGAGCGCTTCGCCATCCGATCTAGGGCCAGCATCCTCGTGTCCTCCATGTTCTGGCTCCTGGGCCCGGTGGGGCAGCGGGGACTGGGACTGGGCTTGCCTCCAAGGGGCGCTTCGCAGCAACCTGTGTCTATTTTCCCAATCTCCACATCCTCCCGCCTATTTCACCTGTTGATATCAGGCCCTATGAGATCAGGCATGTGAACAAGATGTAAATTATACATATTTAAGACATTTTAAATCTAAAATGAATTTTCCCCCAGCTGCACGCCTAGAGCTGGCAGTATGTTCCCACACCTCATTTTGCATTGCGATTGTGTGCCTGTGAAGAAAACAAGTGACCTGGTTCTTTCTTCTTGAGGATCTCATGGATAACTCAGGGAGATAGCACATCCATGTGAAGAAGTCATGGAAATGTCTGCTACACAAATTTCCATTAAATTCAGAACACATTTAGTAATTATCTGCTGTATGCCAGACATTTGGGATACCAAGGGAACTGAGTGGAGCTATGGAACGCAAGGGCTTCTTGGTCTGGAGGTGGAATTTGCTGGGTGAAGAGGTGGCATAGCATTTGGTTAGAGCCATGCTGTGTGGGTTCAAATCTCAGCTCCTCCACTGACTAGCTGTAAACTTGGGCAGGTTAACTTGGAGATAATAGCATAGGGTGGTTGTGAGGATTCAATGAGTTATTGTAAATATATATATATATATATATATATATATATATATATATTTCTCAGAAACACAAAGGGCACTTATTCATTACGAGGGGGTGTGAGGGCCAGTTAAAAGCCCAAATGTCACCTTCATGCAGTCTACTTATGTAGTTAATCCTCACTTGTCCCTCACATTCCTATAATAAATTAAAATGAAAAAATAAAGTTCTCAGAGAGGTGTCTGACACATAAATACTAGCTGTTGATATAAGCAAAAAGCTATAATTGAATAAAGGTGAAGTCCTATTAGATTTAATCTGTCTTTGAGGTGATAGGGGATAACCTTAGGGTCAGGATGAATTTGTGCTGTGCCTGGAAAGGTAAGGCAGAGTTCAGAAGGATGACAGGAAGGAGGAGGACATTTTAAGCAGTGGGAACATTATGAATGAGAAATACATGGCAGTTCCAGGGATTAGAGTGTGGAGAGTGATTGGAACAGGAAAACTAATACAAGTGAGACCTGGATTCTGGTTTAGTGCAGACCTATTAGCTTCTTGACTACTTTCTTATATAATGGAAGGATTTTTAGATAAGATACCAGTGATACCTTTCCAAAATACATTGCCAATCCATGCCAGAAGCTAATATACTATAAGGCCTATCATTTTATAAGCATGAATCCTGGAAGGAACTGACCTTATATTCAGTAATACTAGTATATTTATTTAATCTTACAAAAATGCTGTGAGGGAGATTGTATCCTCTTCATTATAGAGATGAGAAAACTGACTCAGAGAGGTTAATCGAAGTGCCTGAGGTCACACAGCTTATTTTTAAACTCATGCCTGACTGCTCTCAGTCCAGGGCTCTTCTGAGACACCATGGAGAATTTTTGAGCCCATAGTGGATCCACTGCATTAATGATCTCAGGACTTTAATTCTCATCGTTTATATGAGAATCCTAATTTCTATCCCCAACAGTTGTAAGACAGATGGGAGTACATATTTGACTGCAAAAATGTTGTTGAAGTGTCAGTGGCTCTGAGGTGAAGGGGATATTCTGGCTAACTATGAAGGCATTTTCCCAGAGGGCACAGCAAGGTCATATTTCAAATCTTAGTAAATGTACATGACCATTTGTCACAAGTTAGAAGCTTGATTAAGTCCTTGATCCTTTTTTTTTCTTTTTTTTTTGAGTTGGAGTCTTACTCTGTCGCCCAGGCTGGAGTACAGTGGCATGCTCACAGCCACCCCAGCATTGACCTGCTGGACTCCGGTGATCCTTCCTCCTCAGTCTTCCAAGTAGCCGGAACTACAGGCACGTGCTACCGTGCCTGGCTAATTTTTCTTTTTTTTAATTGTAGAGACGAGGTCTTGCCAAGTTGCCCAGGCTGGTCTCAAACCCGCCGGCTCAGGCAACCCACTTGCCTCGGCCTCCCAAAGTGCTGGGATGACAGCACTGAGCCACCGAGCCTGGCCTAGTTCTTGATCTTTAATTTCTATCAGTGGCTTCTTGGATATGCAAACTGAAACAGGTAGAGATACAATTTACTTGCTTCTACCTCTTTTCATTGTGTCATAGAACAGATAAATAGAAGACATCATACACTGTGAAGGAATGCAGCGAAAAGGACAATCTTGATTCTTTTACTTCTTAAGAGACAATTAAGACAGTTAAGAGACAATTCAGATTTCTTCTCTGCCACTAACAAGCTTATTCATTTGTGACTTTAAATTTTTCCAGTCTTATTTTTTGATCTGTTTGTTAAAGGTAACAACAGTGTTTACTTTATAGAGTGGTTGTAAGAAATGAACAAGGAAACAGAGGCAAGCACGTAACATGGTACCTGGAATATCTGAAGCTTTTGGTAAATATTAACGTGTATGCTTTATTAAGGTCTTACACCAATAGATTCTAGGTATGCACAAATATACACACACACGAGTGAAATTTTGGATGAAAAGGTCACACCTACAATTCTACACATCTTTCCTAAAATGTAAGACATGTATCTGTGAATCTTCTCAAATACTTGGTACATATTCCACATTCATATAATAGATGCTTAGAAAACGCACGATGAGAGATTAAATGAATGAAAGATTGAATGAATGGATGGAGGATGGATTTAGGTGATTAATAAACAAACCAAACAGGTACCAAAGATGTCTCCACCCTGTCTTTTCTGAGCAACTAAAAGGTATGTTGTCACAAAACCGTGAGCATATTCTAGTCTGTTGTGCTGGGCCTGGGTGAGACCAGGACGCACCCGACTCAAAAGAATGATTCCAAAGCCAGTCAATCACAATTTCGTCCTTACTTTGGTGCAAACAGCAAAAACAGGAGTCACACATAGTATCCTTCATTGAAATTTTCTCCTTTCCTTCTGACTTTTTCTTCGTGTTTCCATTTACTTCTCAGGTCATCCTCAGGATCAAGTTAAGGTACTTGCCCTATATTGGCAGAAGGTTTCAGGGACATTTTGTCCAGAAACACCCCAGTGGTGACAGTGGTCTACATTATTCTTTTCTGTTCAGACTTAAATTTGGACAATCCAGGAAAGGAACCATCATTTATTGATTCCTTACTATGTAGAAAGGTCATCACAATCTAATTCATCTCATTTGTGTAACAACTCTAGGCATTATGATTTGTGTTTTATAGTTTAGGAAACTGAGGTTCAGGGTGGTAAGTAACTTATCTAAGGTCACACAGCTGCTAGATGGCAAAGCCATGAAGCCATGAAGCTTATGAATGCTCAATTCTTGGCTCTTTTTCTACTCTGTCCCACTGTTTTCTCTCCAGAATCCAAACTGGCTGTCTAGATTTGTTATTTTATTTTTATTTTACTGAACTATTATTGCAGTTCTTTGGATGGTTTATGGCTTTGCTACTGATAAACCATTCTGAAAATCCCAGCTTCAGATTGCTATTTGCTCAGCTATTAGTTCATGGTGATTGGATGGAGCTTTCCTTGGGGAATAAAGATTTTATTCTTTGGGTTTCAAATTTCTCTTCCTTTTAAACTGCCAGTTCTTTTTTGTTGTTGTTGTTGAAATAATTTATTTTATTATATTTTCTAAATATGAGTATGTAAGATTTTCTTCTGATCATTGTTTTTTTTATCATTATTTTTATTATGGTTTTGTGGGATACGGTTAAGGGTTAGGTGTACAATTACGTTTCATTCAGGCACCCTGTTGATAAGAGGTATTTCCCCATCCCCAGACAGATATTTGCTACTGTTAATCCCCCCTCCATAGTTTCCCAGTACCGTCAGTCATTTTCTTATAGTATTACATTGGGTGTTCAAGGTTCATTATATGAGTGAGAACATGTGATACTCAGATCTTTGTTTCTGTGAGAGGTCGCTCAGTATTATAGACGCCAGTTCCATCCAGGTTGCCGCGAAATTCATGATTTTGTTCTTTTTTATGGCTGCGTAGTATTCTATCGTGTATATGTGCCACATTTTTTAAATCCAGTCCTCTTTTGATGGGCAGCATGGTTGTTTCCAGGTTCTTGCTATTGTGAACAACGCTGCGATAAACATACGTGTGCAGGTATCTTTTTTATAGAGTGACTTGTAAACTGCCAGTTCTAAAAGTGAAAATATGAAAAAATAAACTTTCTTACTTGCCGATAACCACTCACTTCCCCGTAATCTGGTCTTGCTCCTTGAATCAAGATGAGTATTATATTGCCTGAGTGGTTAGTTACCCTTTTCATTCCATAAAACTTGATGACTGTCATGGCAATAATTCATTGCCTGCTGATATATCTATTTGGCCATTGACAGGAAGAAGAAATAAAAAAGAAACTGACTCATAGGCTGAACCAGGGATAGAAGAATCATTTGGAGCAAAGTGCAGTGGCTCACACCTATAATCCCAGCACTTTGAGAAGCAGAGGTGAGAGAATTGCCTGAGCTCGGGGGTTCGAGACCAGCCTGGGCAACTTGGCAAGATCTTGCCTCTACAATTAAAAAAAAAAAAAAATCAGTCAAGCATGGTGGCATACGATTGTAGTTCCAGCTACTTGAAAGGCTGAGGTGGAAGGATTGCCTGAGTCCAGCAAGTTGGGGCTGTGATGGCCGTGAGAGTACCATTGCACTCCAGCTTGGGTGACAGAGTAAAACTCTAACCCAAAATAGAATCACCATTTCATATTCTAGTCACGCATTTATTGACCCAGTGTTGGACAGACGTGTGACTCAATCAAAACAGGTCGAGCTGAGGGTAGTTTGCATTTTTAATCAAAACTGAAAATATGGGTCCATTTCATTTTGCAGAATAAACAGATGGCTGAACTATATTTGAAAATATAAATTAAATTATGTTTCAGTTGACTTACACTTTAAATTTAGGGATGATGGATCTTGTTTTGATTGGCCTTCACTTGGCAGGGAC